GTATTTGCTTATTGTTCTAGTAGTGTTCTTGTGGAGTCTTTAGGGTTTTCTATATAGACAATCATGTCATCCGCACATAGTGACAGTTTGACTTCTTTGTTTCCTCTTTGAATGCCTTTTATCTTTCTCTTGCCTGGTTGTGCTTGCTAGGGCATCCAATGTTGTATCGAATAATAGTGGCAATAGTGGACATCCTTGTCTTGTTCCTGATCTTAGAGGAAAGGTTTTTTAGTTTTTCACCATTAAGTATAATGTTGGCTGAGGGTTTGTCATAGATGGCCTTTATTATGTTAAGGTACTTTCCTTCTATATTGATTTTGTTAAGTGTTTTGATCATAAATGGATGCTGAATCTTGTTGAAGGCTTTTTCTGCATCTATAGATATGACCATATGATTTCCTATTTTTTAATTTGTTTATGTGGTGTATCACATTAATCGATTTGCATATGTTGAACCATCCCTGTGCTCCTGGGATGTAGCCCACTATACCATGGTGTATAACCTTTTTAATATGTTACTGTATTCAGTCCGCTAGTATCTTCTTTAGGATATTTGCATCTGTGTTCATGAGAGATATTGGTCTGTGGTTTTCTTTTTTTTTTATCTTTACTGTTTTGGTTTTTTTTTTTTTAATCAAGGTAATTGGCCTCATAAAATGAATTGGGAAATATTGACTCCTCTCCAATTTTTTGGAAGAGTTTGAGGAGAATAAGTATTAAATCTTCTTTGAATGTTTGGTAGAACATTCAAAGAATGTTTATGGGTGAAACCATCTGGTCCTGGACTTTTACTTTTTGGTAGATTTTTGATGATTGTTTCAATTTCCATACCACTAATTGGTCTATTTAGATTTTCTAGTTCTTCTTGATTCAGTCTAGGAAGATTGTACCTTTCTAACTACTTGTCTATTGCATTTAAGTTATTAAATTTGGTGTTATAGACTTTTTCATAGTATTCTTTTTTGATCCTTTGTATTTCTGTGGTGTCTGTTGGAATTCTTCTTCTTTCATCCCTGATTTTGTTTATTTCTGTCTTTTCTGTTTTTTCTTTACTGAGTCTAGCCAGGGGGTTGTCAATTTTATTAACCTTCTCAAAGAAACAGCTAATTGTTGCATTTCTTTTTTCTTTTTCTTTTTTGTGTGTTTTCAATTTCATTTATTTCTGCTCTAATTTTGATGATTTTTTTCCGTCTGACTTTAGGCTTCATTTGTTCTTCTTTTCTAGTTTTTTTAAGATGAAGCATTAGGTTGTTTATTTGGGCTTGTTTTTGTTTTTAGAGGTAGACCTGTAATGATATGGATTTTCCTCTTATGACTGCTTTTGCTATGTCTCAAAAGTTTTGATATGTTGTACTATCATTATCATTTGTTCCTATGTAACTTTTGTTCTCTCTTTTTATTTCTTCTCTGACCCAGTTATTCTTCAGTAGCATGTTGTTTAATCTCCACGTGTTTGTGGTTCTTCCTGCTTTCTTTTTACAGTTGCTCTCCAGCTTCAAAGTATTATGATCAGAGAAGATGGTTGGTATGACTTCGATCCTCTTATGTTTGTTGAGGCTATCTCTGTGTCCTAGTATGTGGTCAATCCTTGAGAATGTTCTATATGCACTAGAGAGGAATGTATAAGCAATCGTTTTGGGATGGAAGACTCTGTAAATGTCAATTATATCAAGTTGGTCTAATGTATCATTTAAGGATGCTATTTCCTTATTGATTTTTTATTGGATGATCTGTTCATATCTAACAGTGGGATATTTAGGTTTCCCACTATGATAGTGTTTTGGTCTGTTTCTCCCTTTAGTTCTGTTGGTAATTGCTTTATATATTTCAGAGCTCCTTGATTGGGAGCATAAATGTTACTAAGTGTTATTTCTTCTTGGTACATGATTCCCTTTATATATCATTATAAAGTGTCCCTCAGTATCTTTCTTTACCTTTTTTATTTTGAAGTCTATTTTGTCCGATATTAGTACCACTACTCCTGCTTTTCTCTGAATGCAATTTGTTTGAAATATCATTTTCCACTCTTTCACTTTGAGTCTATATTTGTCTTTGGAACTGAGATGTGTCTCCTGGAGGCACCGTATGGTTGGGTTTTGTTTTTAGATCCAATCTGCAACTCTGTGCCTTTTTATTGGTGACTTCAGTCCATTTACATTTAGGGTGATTATTGAAATATGAACTCTTCTTATAGCCATTTTATCTTTTGCTTTCTGGTAGCTTGATGTTTCTATTGCTTCCTTGTCCTTGTGTTTCTGGTTTTTTTATTTTTATTTTTAATTAATTTGTTGGGTTTTGGGATTTTTCCCCCTGGACCTTCTTGTTATATAGTTCAGTTCTGAATCTTTGGCATGTGATTACCATTACGAATATATAAATAATAGTTATATATGTACAGTCATCTATTTTCTTCTGCATGTGCCTTATCTCCATTCCCCTTTGTGAATTTGGATCTTTGAATCCTCTCCTTTTTAGTTCTTTTTGTCTTAGTTTGTCCCTATGTATGCTAAACGTTCATTACTATCTTGGTATAGCAAATTTCTTCTTATTGTTTAAGCTTATAACGCCCTGTCTTAGTAAGAGTTGCATTTCTCTGCTTCTATGTGTCTGCTAATCGTCTTACTCATGTATTTTTTTTCATCATTTTGTGTTAGCCGAGTTGACCCTTTTCAGCATATTCTATAATGCAGCCCTTGTTTTGAATAATTCCCTCAATTTTTATATGACTGGAAAGGTCTGTATACATTGTTCTTGGTTGGTAGTTCCTTTCATTTAATAGTTTGAATATTTGATTCCACTCCTTTCTTGGTTGTAAAGTTTGAGCTGAGAAACCCGACCATAATCTAATGGGTTTTTCTTTAACAGTTACCATCTTCTTTTCCCTGGCTGCCCTGAGAATTCATTCTTTGTCTTTAATTTTTGATAATTTTAATATAATGTGTCTTGGAGAAGGCTTTTTTTTAAGTTGAGATAATTGGGTGTTCCGTTGACTTGAATTCCAAGTTCCAGCTCATTCCTTAGATTTGGGAAATTCTTGTCAACTATTTGTCTGAAAATGCTTTCTAGTCCCTGCTCCTTTTCCTCCTCTTTGAGAATGCCCATCATTCTTATGTTTTCTCTCCTGATGGTATCAGCTAGCTCTTCTATTTCTCTCTCATTATTTTTCATTCTTCGGTTTCTCTCTTCTTCCTTCTGATTTATTTCTAGATTTCTGTCTTTGATATCACTGATCCTTTCCTCCATTTGGTCAATCCTATTTCCCAAGCTTGCTATTTCATTTTTCAACTCTTGCATTGTGTTCTTCATCTCCATAATTCTATTTTGTTCTATTTGAGGATTTTGATCTCCTTGCTAAAGAACTCATTCTGCTCATCTAGTGTTTTTTTTCTTTAATTTCTGAAATTATTGATCTGAGTTGTTTTGGATCTCATTGAGTTTTTTCAGAAGTACCATCCTGAATTCTGTCATTTAAGTTGCATATTTCTATGTCTTTAAGCTTATTTTCTGGAGATTTTTGAGCTGCTTTGTCACCTTGCTTGTTTATGGTGTTTAATGGACTATTTCTCCACCTAGGCATTAATGAAAGTGTACTCTGCTTTTTTTTTTCCAGAAAGTAGACTTACTGAAGATCTCTCTTTAGCCTGATGCAAAGAAGGCGTTTTTCTTTTGGTCATATGTATATTGCATTGTGTGTTCACAACCCAAAGTCAAATTTCCTTCTGTCACCATATATTTTACCGCATTAACTCTTATCTATTTCTCTTCCACCCCCTTTTTCTTCTAGTAACCACTAAACTGTTATCTGTGTCTATGAGTTTTTGTTTGTCATGTTTGTTTGCCGCTTTCAGTTTTATATCTTACATATAAAAGAAATATCTTTTGAGGAAAAACAATTTAACCTATAACAATTACATTCTCAAATTGACAAAATTATAAAGCCGGAAAACAAATTTGTGGTTAGAGATGGTGAGAGGTTATGAGGTAGTTATGACTATAAAGGGATATTATGAGAGATCTTTGTGGTGATAAAATATTTCTGTATCTTGAGTGCCAAATGACAGTTACATGAATCTACACATGTGATAAAGTAGAAAAGAACTATGCACACATGTTGAAACAATATTAACATTCTGACTTTGTTATTGTTCTGTAGTTATGTTATGTAACAACTGGCAGAAGAGTACATGGGATCTCTCTGTACTATCTTTGCAACTTTCTGTGAACTTATATTTCAACATAAAAGTATAATATATGAATATGGATATACATACCCTACAATACATAATTAAGGAGTTTCAGAAGATAAAGATTCTACGAATTTCAAGAGAAGTAAAAATCACATACAAAGCACAAAGTTTCAACCTGGAATATAAAAAAAGATGATGGAACAATGCCTTCAGAACTCGTAAGCAATATTATTTTTAACCTAGAATTCTATACCCAGCCAAGCTTTCAATCATATATAAGGGCAGAATAAAGATATTTTTGGACATATGATATCTCAAAAGAAATATTTTTTATTAATTGACCTTTTCTTAAGAATTTACAGGAGGATGTGCTCCAGCAAAACCAGAGAGCAAACAAAGCAAGAAGAAGATACAGAATCTAGGAGACAGGGATCCCTCCAGGAGAGGGAAAAGGGAACTCCTAAAATAAACAGCAGTGCTAAACCTGGTTGGTTTAAAATAAGTGAGTGTATAGGTGAGCACTGCTGCTATAGTAAGGAAGTCTAGGAACTTCTTCTAAAGGGAGGATCACTACCTCCATCTGAAGAACATTTGAAGATCACTACCTCCATTTGAGGGGAGACCTCAAGACTTGGTAGATCCTAATCCAAGGAACCTAATATTTTTCATGTCTTGCTGTGAGATCCTAAATGGTGAAATGGGGATGATGATTCTACATCTCATGTAGGGCCATTGGGGGGATAAAGATGACACATAGTGGGGAATTGTCTGGGAAAAAGAACTCTCAAATCAGTTTACCTGGCTCATTCTTACCTCTAGTTCATGGATGGGCACAGGTTGTGATGGAAGGCAGGAAACACACTTGATCTTTATAGTCAGGGGGTTTAAGTCCTGCTTTTGTTCTTCAGTCATGATAGGAACTTCTGTTTTTAAAGTCAAAAAACAATCTAAAATGTTGGCAGACTGTCCACTGCCATGACTCACTACAGTTTGCCATCCTGGTGGGGGAAGGTGGAATAAACATAGCATTATATAGTTACACATGACAGTTCCAAAACAAGCACAGAGGGATCAGACAACCTGAGAAGAGCCTATTATAAAATTACAAGTAAAAAAAGAAAATTAAAAAAAAGAAGAATTGAGAAACACCTACAGGCAGCATGTTATACACCGGTTTCTCAAACTGAGGTTCCATAGATTCTCTAAGAGAATTTAATTTTTGTGATTTAATCTTGATGATCATCTTGCAACGTTAGCAGTTCTTGAATCATCTCTAGGATATAGAAGCTTTGGGTACCACCAGTCTGATTGACTTGGTCTTGGGTGTAGTCTTTGCATTCGGATTTTTAAAATCTCCCCAGGTGATTCAGAATCACCATCCTAGACTTGTGTTGTCCAGTACATTAGTTACCAGCTCTGTGTGGCTACTTAAATTTAAATTAATTAAAATTAAATACAATTTAAAGTACAGTTCTTTTTTCACATGAGTCACATTTCAAATGCTCAGTAACCACATGTGGCTGTGAGTTACTGGACTGGACAATGCAGATATATAACATTTCCATCACCGCAGAGAGCTCTATTGCAGAGTGCTGTTCTAGGCAATTATTTTAGAATAGAATAAATTCAAGAACAAATTATGCCTATGTGTATTTTGGTGGTCAGTAATGTCACTTTAACTGCTGTGGTCTAATGCAGGGGTCCCCAACCCCTGGGTTGCAGACTGCTACCAGTCCATGGTCTGTTAGGAACCAGGCTGCACAGCAGGAGGTGAGTGGTGGACAAGCGAGCGAAGCTTCATCTGTATTTGCAGCCACTCTCCAGCACTAGAATTACTGCCTTAACTCAACCTCCAATCATCAGGCATTAGATTCTTATAGGAGCACTGGTTCTTGGTGCCAAAAATATTGGGGATCTAATGAGAAAAACGTAGATATCGATGTAGGGTACAACTTATACATTTGAGCCAAATCAAGTGTGGCACGCTTTTGCAATAGTGTGACTAGAAAAAAGGTGGTTGAATTGAACTACTGCGTGGTACATAGCTGTGAGAATACTTTTCTCATAAAAGGTGTCCATTCATTTCACTAGGTGGAGACATACTTAAGAGTAGAAAAAAAAAAATGCAAAAAGCTCCAGTTCTGCAAGTAGAGAGGTCTAGGTTCAAATCCTAGATCTGACTCTGTAGTCACATGATCAACAAGTTAGAGACTCTTTGAGGCTCAATTTACTCTGTGAAAAATGGGCACAGATACTACCTTTCTTAGGGTTATATATGTGAAGGTGCCAGGAACACTGCCCAACACATTGTACATGCTCAACGTCAGTTCTATTACTTTAAAATGTTTGTAAATATATTTATAGGGCACATAAAAACCCAGAAAGCCTAGTCACTTCCAAAACATGCTCAGAAAGCCTAGTCACTTACAAAACAAGTTGTGGGCCTTGTGTATGCAGTTGTCTGCATGGGCCGTAAGCGTGGGGAATTGAGCATCTCCTGGGGGTAGCCCTCCCTGCTCTCACGTGATTCTCTTCAATAAAGCCGACTCATCAAAGCCATAACTAATTATGATTTGTGTTCTAGAACTTTGTAAGCCTTTTCATATAAAAATTGCCCAGTTTAGAAAAAAATCTCCAGTACAAACAGGTACTCAAATCATTCATAAATTTAGAGAAGTGTCAGCCATAATTGTAGGGTAGAGTTTCTCAACCTCAATAATACAGACATTTGGAGACAGATAACTTTTTGTGATGGGGACATATAGCAGAATTCCACTAGATGCCATTAGCATTCCTCTCCCACTTATGACAACCAAAAATGCCTCCACACACTACCAAATTTTCCCTGGGGGTCACAAGGGCCTGAATTGAGAACCACTGTTCCAGAATAAGGGAAAAGGTGGGGGGCTGACACTTCATGGCTTGTGCACTTACAGCTGCCCATGCTAGCCTCGACCATGCATTAATGCCACTCAATCCTCAAATGACACTTTGTGGTTGCTATTGTCTCTGCTTTACAGATGGGAACTGAGGCCCAGAGATGTTAAGTAATCATCTAAGTTCTCTTGGCTAGTAAGTGTTGGAACCAGTGTTTACACCAGTCCTACTTGGCTAAGTTTGGCCCCTCCACTATACAATAAAAATAATAATTTAGTCTAAACACAGAATCTTATTGGGTTACTAGTCAACCAATACTTGCCACTAAGGTTTGCAAAGTCTATGGCCTAATTTGAAACTGAAGATGATTACCAAAATAATCATGCTGGTTTTGGAATAGATCTTGTGCTACTATATTATGGCAAACACTAACATAAAATTGGCTTGCTGAGCCAAGGCCATTCTCAGTTTATCGCCATAAACCATGACATCAGTGTAAGGGAAGAGGTTATCTTTCTGTTTTCTTTGCTGGAGGCTCACTGCCCTGCACCCAGCCCACCCAGTATCTTGACAGAAGCAGCTGCCACCTTCATACTAGCAACCTCTTTGTGTCCTAATGTATGTGAGTTTCCATGCCAAGCAGTTTACACGCATTATTTCATGTGATCCTTACTACAGCCCTTGGGGTAGGAATTATCACCCCATTTTACATATTAGGAAACTGAGACTCAGAGAAAACAGGTAACTTGTTGTTAAATGGCTGAGCCAAAATTCAAAGTCTGTCACCGGAGTTCTTGCAATAACTCTCATATTACACAGCCATGAGAACACAGGTTAAAGAAAGGGGAGGCCCTAGCACCTCCTGACTTCACTTTGCTGGATACAGTCACACCGGGCAAATCAAGATCATTTAAGATTTTCCTTCCCCTCACAGTAAAATTAAGGGCAAAGTTATGCAGGTCACCCAGAGCTCACCCACTAGAGAACCACTGGTTCTTCTTTGGGATTCAAAGACCATGAAGCATTTACCATGATGTTTGCTCCAAGCAGAAGCATGCAACAGCTGTATGGGGAGACTCAGTCCTCCCAGAGGACAACATGAGAGTGGGTAAAAATCTGAAGATTCACTTCTCTAGAAGATTCTGATGTGGTAGGAAAGCTAAGGGAGTCCAAAAGGCCCAACTTTAGAGAAAAGCTGATTTTCAAAAATCCATTTAAAGTTGCAAAACAAAAAGGTAAAGGGAGGCGAATACATGGTGACAGAAGGAGATCTGACTTTGGGTGGTGAACACATAATGCAATATACGGATGATATGTTATTGAATCATACACTTTAAACTTATATAATTTTGTTAACTGATGTCACCTCAATAAATTTAATTAAAAAGTTAATAATATTTCCTCAAAATGTATCAACACTAACCCAAGAGCCTGTGAGAATTATGATTTTTCCGGTATCTGTGGAACTCAGTGCTGACTTTATGGGTTTTTTACCCTACGTGTCTGCAAAAATTGGTTCCAGAAAAGACTGAAGCCTAAATTTCTGCAGATTGGCCAATAAAGGGCGCACATTCACCCTGATTTCCACCCTCTACCCTGCCCGTCAACCCCAAACCCCCCAAACTCAAAACCAAAAACTCACGATGAAATAGGTTTGAAATTATTTTCCCTGAAGATAAAAGAAGAGGGTTCCCCTCACCCATATTACCCTTTTAAAAATGAAGTCACATAATTTTACTCAAATATATTCTGAGCTTTTCATCATCAAAACATACAGATATAATAAATGCCTATTTATTATTTATCAAATGGTAGAAAACTTAGTTTATAACTTGTGATACATCTTGCAAAGAAAAAGAATTAAACTCCAGTTCTGCCACAGAGCTATGTGACCTCAGGTAAGTTATTTGACTTCTCTGAGTTTTGATTCCTCACTGAAAAAAAAATGGTGGCAATGATAATCACCCCTCACACTATTGCTACAAGTTTATTGGGAGGATCAATGTTTGTTATGAGAAGTAAATGATGGGACATAAATACCGGTTCCTTTTCCTAATTTCCTTTATTAGATGTTTTTGTAAAAATCTATAGAAACAAGTTTATTAAAAAGCAGCATCTTCTTTTGGCAAACAAAATTGTGACATTTTTTATTCTCATAAGTTTCCTTAGGCTTGGTAATAAGACCTGGGTTCAAATCTTGGCATCACACGTACTTGCTATGTGATCTTAGACAATACATTTAACTCTCCATGCTTCCCTTTTCTCCTCTCTGTAATAGAGACACCCCTACTTGGCAAATGTGAAATTTGGTGGCATAGAGCATCCTGTTTATGAACTTTTAGCTAAATTTGACAAGACAATGAGAAACTGTTGGGAATAGGTGTAGCTACCTGCAAGGAGTGGCATTACTGCCAGCTGAATGGAAAAGGAGCCCTGCTTCCAGTGGCCTGCCAGCTTGGGGTCAGTGTCCTCTTCTGCTCGGGATTTCTTCCTTTTCTTCTGGCTTTTCTTCTTTCCCTCTGATTCTTTCTGTTTAACTATGGAATCAAAAGAATGAAATAAGTATTAAGAGGAGCTCATATCCAAGCTGTAATATGTGAATGCATATGCTGCAGAGATTTGAGAAAGTTATGGAAGCTCCTTGAAGGCAGAATGTTCTTTGTGCTGCTGCCTCTTATCAGCAATCAGAAGAGGTGTCTAAATGTGGATAGCTGATCAATTACCAGTTATATGCAGGGAGAAATGGAGGGGTGTCCTGGTTCCCCACCTGGTACTACACGAGAGCATGGGTCAGAAGGGGGCTAAGGTTGTTATGATGACAGCAGCACCACAGCATATCTAAATATTCCTTGAAGTCTGATCTTCACCACAAAATAGGGTTGAGGTTTGGGCTTTGGAGTTAACCATCAGAATTCCAGAACCAGCTCTACCTCTCCTGCAGTATAACCCCAGGACAGTGCCTTCACCATTCTGAGCCTCAATCACCTCATCTGTCAAATGGGGCAATAGCACCTGCCTCTAGGGTGTTGAGAAGAGTAGGGGTACAGAAAATGTTAGGCTTAGTGCCAAGCTTTGATCAAAAGTAAAAAGGAGATGATAAGAGTCATAAGTCTATGATAGTTAAAACCATGAGCTATTGGTTCCAGTATATAAAAGCCAATTAAATGGACTAGAAAGCCCAGAACTAGATCCACATGTGGTGTTTCAAATCAATTTGAAAGAATGGAGTAATCAATTAATTATACTGACTATCCATTTGGAGGCAAATGAAATTATCAGGCACCTAATGGTATATGTAAAAAGAACTGCAGTCTAGAAGTGAAAACAAAAACTCAAAATGATTGGAAGAATACATAAGAGACTATATTGATATCTGGATGAGGAAGAATTTCTTAAACGTTACCAAAAGTACAAACTAGAAAGGAATAGTTAAATAATTGGTGTACGAAAGAAGATAACATATATAGAGTAAAAGGATAAGTTACAGATCTCAGTCTGTGTTGTTTATAACGCATGTAACTGACAATGCATAATTATCCAGAAGATATAAAAAATAAAGCTTATGAATCAACAAGAAAAAACTGAAACACAAAGGAAAAATAAGCAAAGAAATAAGAATAGGCAAATCACATGAGTGTGACCAAATAAACATATGAGAATCTTTCGACCACACTGGGAATCATGAATTAAGCCCTTGACTGTGCCAAGCATGGGTGATGTGGAGAAACAGGAATTCTTAGGACTGCTGTCAGGAGGGCAAAAAATAGGTACATTCTAGAGAATAAACTGACAGCATCTCTAGTAAGTGAATGAGATAAGGAGTAAATGTGCATTTCCTACATCTGGTGACCTTGCTGGCCAATGCCCTAGACTCTTCTGCATGTGCACATAAACACCTGCTCAAAGATGATAGCTATTGCCGTGCTGGTGGCAGCAGAGAATTGAAGACAACTCAAATGTTCCTCAGTGGGGGACTACATGGATGAAGGATGGTACATCCATCTAATGGGGCACTCTACCAATAGAAAGGACCACACCAATTATCTACCTCAGTATAAGGTACAGATTTTAAAACACAAGATGCAAAGGGGACTGAAACTTTATTTCCTAAAAAAGAAAAAGAACAAGAAAGAAATGAAGGAAATATAGCAAAATAATAACATCTAAATTGTGGGTACACTGTTGTTATATTTTTCTGTGTACTCATCTATCATTTCAAAATTTAAAAAATGGTTTGAAAACCTCATTAAAATGCTCAAGAAACATAAAAAAAGAGTGAGGCCGTCTAATCTGGAAAAGAGAAAATTCAGAAGGAGCTGAGAGGTATTCAGATATGAAAGTGTGGACTAATCCTTTAGGAACTTAAAAATAGGAATGAATTTTATTCAGCTATGTTTCCAATATCTACTAGAGAGCCTGACGCAGTCACTTCTCTCTGCAGCTTAAGTGTTGAACTAGAACCAGGAAAAGCAGATTAACTGAATGAGAGTTAAGGAAATGACTTGTAGTAGTTATAGTTGAATGAACAAGAAATGGCCATCCTAGGAGGCAACAAGTATACTAGATCTAGAATTGTCCCTTTCATACTAGAAACCCAACTACTTGCTGAAAAGCTGATGAGGAGATATAGGCCAAGAATGAGTAAGTAGATTTACTGGCTTCTGAGGATCTTTGCCTCTTGGCAGTCTATCACTAAGATAACATGCTTTTGTATGATCATTTCCTGCAATCTGGGATGCTATTTCCCTCATTACACCATATGAAGCAAATAGTTTCTTATCTTCCAAGGAGAATTGATATCTCCAACTCTTTTGTGCTTTCCCAACATACCACATACCTACTCCTACCATAGCATTTATCACATAGAATTTTAATTATTTGTTTGAAAGTCTCCACTAGATATTAGAGATTTCTATGTTTCCCATATTCACAACACTATGGATCAGGAGCACAAAAATATTGGAAAAGTGAGAAAGGATATGATAGAGGGGGTAGATGAATGGGATAATGTGGGTAAGTGAATGGGATGAAATGGGACTGAATGAATGGATGGATGGATGGATGGATGGATGGATGGATGGATGGATGGATGTTGGAGATGGATGGATGAGGTGAGATAGAATGGATAAGTTGAAAGTATATGTAGTATTCTTTTATTTTGAGTAATATTTGGTCAGATATCACAGAATCTCATTGAAGTATTTGGAATTTGAAATATTTCATAATTCTTCCAAGCCCAGGTATATTATAAAATTCCAAAATCCCATCCTTACTTTGAAATTTTTGCTTTTCTAATATGTTTGTTAAGCTGCTAAACGATGGTCTCTCAATTAATTCCTTCATCTCCATCATGGTTGCCCCACCCAAAGAAATAGTTGGTATTCTTGAAACGTTCCATCTAGAAAATTCACAAAGAGAAAAATAAATAAAGGTGAAAAATAAGGGACCAGATAGATCTAGGAATCTATTTATTGGACTAAATGTGAGCAGATTAAAAAATAATAATAACATTGAATTCTTCTAAACCAATGCTTCTCAAATTTCACATGCATATGCATCATCTGAGAATGTTGTTAAATAAAATGCAGATTGTGGTTCAGTAAGCCTGGGGTAGGCCTGAGATTCCACATTTCTAACAAGCTCCCCAGTAAGGCCAATATTATTGGTCTGCAGACAACACTTGTACTACCAATTCCTAACCAACTAGAAAATATGAAAAATAATATATTTTTAATAAAAGCAACTGAAAGTCTAAAATATTCAGGAATTCATTTATAGGCATTATCCACAACATATATAGGAATAAAAAATGAACTCTATTAATAATATAATAAAGGAGTTGCTGAAATAGGTGAAAAGATACACCATGATCAAGGATGGGAGAACTTCACAATGTAAAAATGTCAATTCTTTCAAAATTAATCTATAAATTCAAGGAAAAAACAATTTTTTTAATCAAGATCTTTTTTAATGACACTTTCTCTTGGTTTTCCCCCTCCCATTCCTCCAATCTACCAGCTGGACCTCCATTCTACTCCTGGTCCTGATCCAAGGAAACTCCTTCTCCAGATCCTTCTTTGGCTCCAAGAGGCTCCAAGAGCAGGAAGGGCTGTGAACTCAGTAATCTGAAGGTGTGGGTTGGCATCCGGGCTTCACCAACACCCCCAAGATTCCCAAGAATTCTTGTTTTAGAACTTTGTGAAAACCATTTAACCACTCAGTCACCTTATATAGAAAATGGAGATAGTAACACCGCTTCACAGAGTGATCATTATCGGGATTAAATAAGATAAAGTAATGCATGACAAAGTACTGTAGCTAATGTATATCACAGGTACTCATAAACACAAGCATGCCTTTCTCTGTTCCTTTAATTTCTCTTGAATTGCATGAGCTCCAACATAACTGAAGTTACTAAAAATCTACACTGACTCATGGTGGGGGTCTGTAGGCTAGGAATAAGGGGCTGTACTTCCACTCTCCAAAATAACATATGTTCATCCTTACCCAACTGTGGCAAGATCTTCTGTTCTGAGTAGCTTTTCACATTCCTCAGTATTCTTGGAAAGAGTTTCAGGCTCAGCTGGGTAAGAACATGAAATTATTTATTAGCAAATGTCTTCAAACTTCTTGTTTTATACTAGTTCACTAAGAAATGAGAGCCCTTTACACATTTTGTAATACCAGCTCCAGCAGAAGGCCTGGTATGTGTGAGCATTCAGTAAAAAGCTTTGTTAATAATAAATAAGTAAATGAGTGAGTATATAGACTAACTATGATTATTTTGACAAATGAAGGCAAGAGGAGGCCTCCAGTTCTTTATATAATACCCCAGAAAGAAAAAATAAATAAAAGAAGAAAAGCCTATTATTTAGTCAGTCGTCCACTTCAGAATAGTTTACATTAGAAAATACTGAAAACACTCCCAGATTCCTAAATTCCCACCTATAGGGAATGATTAAGCAAATTACAACATTATCAGCAAATGAAGTATTATTTAGTTACCACAAATGAAGTTTATGGAAAGTTTTGAAGGAAATAGGAAAGTGCATGTAATGACATATTAATATCAGAATACAGAATTATATAACCAGGATAACTTCATCTATGTAAAAAAAAAAAAAAACTTAGATAAAATAAAAAAGGAATTTGCCATAATATGATAACCAAAATAATATAATGCTTGTTCCTGATGGTGGAATTATAGATTATTTCTCTGCTTATTTTAAATTCTACATTCACAGAATTTTCTAAAAAAAAACACATATATAAGTTCTATGGTTAGAAAAGTATTTTTTTTGTAAGCCACAGAATTGATAAAAATTAAACAAAGAAAAATAATCAACAATAAAAAGTAAGTTGTGCAAAGAGAGCAGTGCTTGCTTTGGCAGGGTGAACCAGAACCAGCAAAAGCAGCTGATACACATGAAGGAAATCAGTGCACACACACTAGACCAGTATTACCAATCAATCACTTTCTCTGCCATAGTTTACACTCAGTTTATCCACAAAGGCCATCTCCACTCACCGTCCAAAGACTTTAAGTATTTTTCTGCTTTTTCTGGTTTTCCTGCTGCATACTCCTCATCCCACTCCTCTTTGATGTGAATGCCCTTTTCAGACAATCTTCTCTGATTTAAAACCAAACGTCTCACTTCCTCTAGAATGCAAGGAAAAAAGAATCATTGACTCAATCAACCAGAAATACTTATTGAATACCTACTATGTGACAATCACTTTCCTGGTGTTGGAGATGGAGCAATGGATAAGGTAGGCAAGGCCCCTGACCTCCTTGAGTTGCTCGTTGCCTAAGGGTCTGCTGCTTCGAAATACCAGGAAACACAAACCTCAACTGGCAATGGCTTCTTCTAAGTAAGACCATTAATTACTTGATTTATGTTGTTCCATTTAATCATTACACTTCACTTTAAGGAAGGCATTACCATTTCCTCCATTTCATAGATGAGGAATCTGACACTGAAGTAACTTATTTTGTGGTCAGAGAGCTGGCTTTAGCAAAGTCAGGACCACATCCGGAGCTCCTTTCCTCAGCTATGGAGATGATTCCTCACGTCTTTCACTTCTATCAATATGGAGCTTTGCATGCACATGGCAGCAACAAATGTGAAATAATGAACAGAGGAAGTAAGTGAATGAATGAAGATAATGGAAGCTATGAGAAAGACATGAGGAAAAGAAGTGAAATTGCATTCAATGTTGAAGGATAGATAAAAATTTTGGAGAAAGAAATAAAACTAAGAGCCCCTATGTATGGCCAAATGCAGGCCCTACAATGAGGAAAAGTCTTGTGTCTTCAGGGACCAGGTATGAAGGTAGGAGTAGCAATGAGAAAAGAGCCTTGGGGAACAAATTATAGGATGCCTTTAAGGTTGGACTCAGAAGTCAGACTTGGTTCCTGAAGGTACTGAGCAGCCATGACATGTTGCAGAGCAATGAAGTGCCAGGGTAAGGGGTGACATAGAAAGGTCACAGAAAGGAAAAACCTGAGTGTAGAGAGAAGAGCCAGCTAAGAGAGAGAGAGCTCCAAAAAATCACACACAGACAGGGTGAGTGGGATAGTCAAAAGTTGAGTCAATTATGACTTGGCAGGGGTTCTTCAAGAATAATGTCTTTTTTATCCAATACTGAGAAACCAAGAAGATGAGCAGATTTAATAAAGGAGAAATGCTAACTCTTGACTGGGATGTTTCATTCAATACCAGCAGGCTGAAATCTAACAAATTTAGGCACGTGACCTATAGTGAATCCAAAAAAATTTCCTATCCCCTTTGTAACATGAAACAAACCTCTTATGGTCTTTCTGCACTCCCAAGAAGACAAGAGTTTCAAAAGATATATTTTTAAGTGGAAAAAAAAAAGGCAGGACTTAAAACAACATGTACACTAGGTCTGTTTTTGTTAAAATTTTGTACCCATATATAAAATGACAGAGAAATGTTAGTAATGACTAGCTCTGGTCAGACATCATGTGATTTTATTTTTTTCTTCTTTTTTGCTAGTCTATTTCTAAATGTTTTACAAAGTGAGCATACACTGATTTTTCTGATAGAAAAAAAAAATTAACCTAAGAGGCAGTGATGCCAGTCTTGAGATAGGGTTTGAGGAAGAGCAGGTGCTGTCATTTCAAGAACACTCAGTAAAAAGCCCGTGGGCCTTCCCTATAGGGCCAAGAACACCCTTCCTTCCTTCCTTTCTGGCTAGCTGATTCAATTTACCCTTCCAATCTTGGCTCCCATGGCCTCTTCTCTAGGAAGCCTTCCTGATACACTTACCCCAGTACCCCTTCTCCAATATAAGCCCACTGAGGGGCAGATGTTTACCAGAAATTTTGGCTCAGCAGTTCTGGGACAGGCCCTTGAATTTGTATTTAGGTGGCACTTCGAGTGCATATAATGCAGGTGGTGTAGAGCCTACAATCTGAGGACATGGATCTTCCCTTTGGTCAAAGTGAGAAAAGTTACCTCAAATCCCATTTTCTCCCTCAAGAATTATACAATTAGTAGTTTGGATATAAACCAGTGATTCTCAGCAAGGGGTAAGTTTGCCCCTTCCTTCCAGGGGACAATGTCTGAAATTTTGATTATCACAACTGGGAGGCTACCGTTGGTAGTTAGTGGAGTAGAGATTAGGTATGCCGCTAAACATCCTACAGGGCCCAGGACATTCCCACAAGAAATTATCTGACCCAAAATGCCAATAGTGCTGAGGATAAGAACTCCTGGATATAAATGAAAGATTAAAAATCAGAAGCCCTAAGCACCCAGTGTCAGAAAGAATCCTTGAGAAGTCAGTCTGGAAATCTAGAGAAAGCAGAGATTTTCCAGTCATAAAAAACTGGGTTCTGATTCTGGCACTGTAATTTGCTTCAAGCAAGTGATTGACTCACTATGCTTACTATAAAAAGGGAATAACTGTACTTATCTGGAAGCCTCTAACAACAGAAATAATAGTACCACACTCCAAGGATTTTTAGATTCACATTGCTTTTACCTTTTAACATCTCTAAAACCTGGGATACATCTTTACAATTAATGCCATAGCATAGTTTAATTGACAGGGTTTTATTATTGTTTTCAAATTCTCTATAGAAAATGCACATCTTTTTTATTGCTTGTGCCTGGGGAGACCACTCCCACTTCCCTGCCTCCAGGCATCTGACTAGAAGAAGTAGATACAAGCTTAAGATCATCACCTAGTTCAAGATGAAGACAAAATTGAATTCAGTTATCTGACTTCAAGGCCTGAGTCTTCCTACTTCTTCCAGCATTCTCCTTCAAGGGCAATTCAAAAGGTGACTTTCTGGAGTTGATATAATATTGACACAAGTAAGAGTTTAGAGTGTCTATGTAAAAATATTAACATGGGGTCATGGTGGTGGGATTTTTAAAAACATTTTCTGGGGGTGGGTGCCCATGTTGGCATTGCCTAGGGACAGGTCTTGAAAGGTTACAGAAGTGGAGGTGTGGCAGCCTGACCCTTCCTGGCCATTTCCTGTTCCGAGGAGTTCATTCCTGACTGCCCTCCCCCCACCTCGAGGACTCTTTGGCTAACATCAGTTTTTTCAGAGCTTGCCAACCAATTAACATTCTTCCTTATATCTGTAGCTGTGTAGGAATGAGAAGACTGTATAAAACTGCTGTTATGTTACAATCAGGGCTCAGCCTTTGGATAAGAATCCGCCGAGCTGGTGCCAGCATCAATAAATGCTGCTTCCTGCTTATAGCCTTGGTGTCCCGTCTCCCTGTTTAAGAATCCTGCAATATTTCTGGGGGCTCATCAGGGATGCAGAGACGACAATTTTTTGCCTCCCTTGTCTTTGGAGTCTGGCCCCCAGGACGCTGGGAGAAGCAAACTTCACCTGGCATGCCAGCAGACCTATTGTCTGTGGGGGAGGATGACTCTTCCAGTGGACTGGGGTGTTGGCTCTGAGAGCAAAAAGAACCTGGAGAGGTGTGGGAACCAGCCAAGGAGCACCACCCCACTGAATTGGTAAGAACCTGGGTCTCAGGAACAGCCTGTCCTCTATAGGACAGAAGGGGAGTCTGATCAACTCCAAAGATCATTCAAGTACTCTATATTTGTTAGAAGAAACAGTGAGCTCTCAGGTACATAGGGTGGAGTGCATTTGGTGTGTGATTGTATGTGATTGAGATGTGGCCTTTTCATGAAGTGAGACTTGAGCCCCTATCTACGGTTCTATGGTGAACCTCATAGGGCTTACGGTGCTGTCATTGGATCTCTGTGAGGAATTTATTCCAGTGATCCAAGTTGGGGGTTGATACCGGCCAATTGCTAAGAGGTGCTTGAAAGATCACCGTGAGAGGAGCAGCTGGAGATGGGCGAAGCAAATCTCTGAGTACATGTGTGTCACCGACCACAGGTGGAAGGATGGGTGGATAATAGAGTAAACAGAAATCTTTAGGTTGTATGCATAAGAATTTTAAAAAGAGTTATTCAGGAGATTAAGTAAACTCACCCCACAGAAACTCCTCACCTTTTGTGAGATCAACTGACCCTCTTTTGGTACTGGGTGGCCAGCAGAGGGAACTCTTGATAAGGAAGTCATTGCAAAGGTCTCTCAAGTAATTACTGGTCAACCTGGCCACCCAGACCAATTCCCTTATATAGATTCTTGGGAGGCAATAGTTCGCACCCAACTACTTTGGTTGAGAGTCTGCCTAGAGGAGAATTATAGGGCCCTCCTAGCCTGGGCCTTGGCACCCCCACAAGGCCAGTTAAAAGAAAAGAAGCCTCTGTTGTAAGCATTAGGCTAGAATGGGCTCCATTCTGCTAGGCTCCCAGGAGCGTATGGCCAAAAGATAGTCGGAGGCCAACCTATTGACTTCATGGCTGACACTGGAGCTGAACACTCAGTAGTAAGTCATCCTGTGGGCCCCCTTTCTCAAAGACAAGCTACCATTATGGGAGCAACTGGAGGACGAGTCTGTTGTCCCCTCCTGCATCCCTGCCGGTGCAGGAAGTTGTCCACGAATTTCTATATCTGCCCGACTGCCCTGTGGCACTTAAGCGGTGAGATCTTTTAGGAAAACTCCAGGCTCAAGCAGCCATAACCTTGGGGAGGCCAAAAGCATGGATCATGTCGCTCATGGTTCCCCAAGGAGAAGAGTGGCGCCTCTATAGTTTCATAGAACGGTCCCAACAAAGACCCAAGTTCCCCTTCAAAGTGCGCAGAGTGTGGGCTGAAGACAATCCTCCAGGGCTGGCCAGACACATTCCTCCAGTAGTGGTAGAATTAAAACCAGGAGCTGAGCCAGCCCACCAAAAACAGAATTACATCCCCCATAAGGTACAAGTGAGGATCTAAAAACATTTAGAGAGACTTCTGAAGTATAGAATTCTTTGTCCCTGCCAATTATCCTGGAATACACCTCTCCTGTTTGTTCAGAAGCCAGGGACCAATTAATACTAGCAGTCAATCAAGCAACTGTCACTCTGCACCTTGTTGTCCCCAACTCATATACCCTTCTAGGCCTTGCTCAGGCAGCCTATTTCACCTGTCTGGACCTCAAGGATGCCTTCTTCTGTATATGCCTGGTTCCTCACAGTCAACCGATGTTTGCCTTCCAATGAGAAAGTCCTAAAAGCAGAGACAAGGGCCAGTTGACATGGACGCAACTG